TTTAGGGTTAGGGTCTAATTTGGGGTTTGGGGGTTGAAAAGAGGGAGTATGGTGGAAGGCTTTAGGGGTTTAGGGTTTCGAGGTTTAGGGGTCCAGGACTCAGGATTCAATGTTAGGGATCAGGAGCATTTACATCAGGATTATGTATGTATATATATATTATATACGTATGTGAGATATTCAATTCATAGGGGAACAGCAACTGTATAACATATAGGGCACCTCCGATGGCCAGGAACTGGACGTCTTGCCTTCGGCTGCGGGGGGCACGAAACGTTCAACGAGTCCTGCTGGCTGCAGGTGCACCCTCAACCTTAAACTCTGAACCCTAGACCTTAAACCCTAAACCCTGGGCCCTAGACGCTAACCTAGACCCTAAACCCTGAACCCTAGCCCTAAACCCAAAACCCAAAAACCTAAACCCAAAAACCCAAAACCCTAAACCCTAACTTCTTTGAGGGCTTTGGTGTCAGCCCCCAAAAATAGAAGATAATAATTGCTATGTTACCCTGATAATAAGCACGAATATTTTGTGGGGGGGGTTCTTCGGCAACTAAGAACCCCCAAAGATAAAAAGGCAACAACTCAATAATCCCTGTATTACCCTTATGGAAGAAGAGATTTGCATTTTTGGGAGTTTCTTAAGAAATAGTAGATCTTGAGCTCTTTGGCACTATGTGCCCCGCTCTAACAACACACTTAACCAACCTGCAACCAACACTAAAGCCCTATAAGAACAAAACCCTAAACCCTACAGCCTAAACCCTAAACCTAAACCCTAAACCCTAAACCCTAAACCCTAAACCCTAAACCCTAAACCCTAAACCAACTGAACTTCGAAGTCCGCTGAGCCCCAGCGGTTGCCACCCATGAGGGGTGCACAGTCCCAAGCTAAGAAAGTGGTTTAGGGTTTAGGCCTTTAGGCTTCAGGGCTTTGTGGTTAACGAAGATAAAAAGGGTTGCCCTTTTTGGTTTAAGTTTCAGGGGGCTTTTACGGGAACCTAAACCCGAAAATAAAGGGAATAAGGGCCTATCTGGGTCCTAGCAGGCCTAAACCCTAAAACCCCTAAATCACTAAATCCAGAACCCTAAAAGGGGAATCAGGCACAACGCCCCAAGCTTACAAAGAAACCCTGCAGGCACCAGTCCGAAGGGGACAGCTGAGCCGGCATTCAACGCACCTGGGCAAGCGCAAACCTGAACCCTGAACCCTAAACCCTAAACCCTAAAACCTAAACCCTAAACCTAACCCCAAACTCATGGCTCATGGGATGGGTAGGGGGTTTAGGGTTTTAGTTTAGGGGGGGGGGGGGGGGGGGGGGGGGGGGGGGGGGGGGGTGGGGGGGTTGGGGGGGTTGGGGGGGGTTGGGGGGGTTGGGGGGGTTGGGGGGGTTTGGGGGGTTGGGGGGGTTGGGGGGGTTGGGGGGGTTGGGGGGGTTGGGGGGGGTTGGGGGGGTGGGGGGGTGGGGGGGTTGGGGGGGGTTGGGGGGGGGGGGGGGGGGGTGGGGGGGGGGGGGGGGGGGGGGGGGTTTTAGGGTTTAGGGTTCAGGGTTTCGGGTTTAGGGTTTAGGGGGGGGGGGGGGGGGCGAATTCGACACCATTGCAGAGGTTGATTTTTCAGCCGACCCTCCTTCGCTTGGTTGTATAACTACTGTGACCACAGCTGTGTTCTACTTTAGGGTTTAGGGTTTAGGGTTTAGGGTTTAGGGTTTAGGGCTTAGGGCTTAGGGTATCTTCCTTACTTCTCCAATAACCAAGGGGATAACAAGGTTAACTTTTTTCTTCCTGCTAAATCAGGAAACCCAAAAGTTCAAAGCTCCAGCTATTGGCTAAGTACAAATCTGCTCCCATGTGCTGGTCGTACTTCTCTTTAGGCTGTGCAGGTGTTTTACATTGGAGCGCCAACAGGAACCCGCATAATTACCATCAAGATCTATAAGCGCGATATAACTAGACTAAACCCCGAACCCTAAATCCTAAATCCTAAATCCTAAATCCAAGCCAAAAACATTTCATGAAGGTGTACAGGAGTGAATTAACTTCGAAGTTGCTGACATGGCCAACTATACAGCGGAGAGGAAGGCCATGTAACTCATGTTCGCCCTTAATTGAAGGAAGGTCTTGGAATACAACCCAGGAAGCCCCCCTCCACCACCACCAAGCCGCTTAACCCCAAACCGCAAAACCCTAAACCCTAAACCACCCTAAACCCCAAACCCTCAACCCTCAACCCTAGGCACTTTAACATCCCTCTGTATCCCCTCTAACGATTCTCTAAACTCGCAACCTCATGACCACACCGGACTTTCACTGAACAACAAGACATTGTGGCAACCGGACAAAACATCAAGAACTTAAAAGGACTTCAAGAACCTGCTATCCTTCAAACCCTAAACCCTAAACCCTCTACATGGAGGTGCATGTGTACTTGTAAATAGGATTAAAAGTGCCCTGAGTAAGGTTCGAACCAGAGCTGCCATACTTCGAACCCTAAACCCTAAACCCTAAACCCCAAACCCTAAACCCCAAACCCAAAGCCCTAAGCCCTACCCCCCCAAACCCTAAACCCTAAAACCCCCAAAACCCTAAACCCTAAACCCTAAAACCCTTAACCCTAAACCCTAAACCCTAAACCCTAAACCCTAAACCCTAAACCCTAAACCCTAAACCCTAAACCCCAGCAAAGCCGAGGTCCATGGGGAGCCAAGGAGCTGGGCTCCACCTGCCTTGGCGCGGGCGGTCAGGTTCAGCTGCTTGAGGCTCTCCCGGACCTGAAATCTCACTGGGTTGTTAGGGTTTAGGGTTTAGGGTTTAGGGTTTAGGGTTTAGGGTTTGGGTTTTGGGGTTTGGGGTTTAGGGTTTAGGGTTTAGGGTTTAGGGTTGAGGGTTTAGGGGTTTTGGGTTCTAGGGTTCTTGGGAATCTCAGGGCATTGCGAAGGTTTAGGGTTTGCAAGGTTTTACAGGGTTCGGATGTCACAGGTCGCTTCGGTTTCAACATTGGCGAAATATTACCTGGACAATCACCAAACAATGCCCCTGAACCATGCCACACTGTAGCAAGGCTGTACGCCAAAAAAAGCACCAGCGACATACGTACGTTATAGATGTGCATATATGTGATGGCCAGACACTCAGCGGCAGAGAGAATACACATCGCTTCAATGTCTTTACATGAAACTGAACTTCACAGCCCGCACCTACTTCTGAGGGCGGGTTCTCCAAATTGTTCTCCCTGTTGGGGTGCCCTAGGTGTTAGGGGCCGCCTTATAAAACTAGAGTAAGCCCAAACTGGGAGCCTTACTTAGAGAATCCCCCATAGACAGATAGGCTAGGCTTAGCACCCAAGAACTCATGATAGTGACTCACGCAGGGGATGCCAAGTAGTAATTCTGAGGAGGAAACGGGCTCAGAGCGCAGAGCCGCTCTCGTCAAAAAAGAAAGTCTCCTAAACCCTAAACCCTAAACCCTAAACCCTGAACCCTCAACCCTGAACCCTGAACCCTGAACCCTAAACCCTAAACCCTAAACCCTAAACCCCGAACCCCAAACCCTAAACCCTGCCGCTAAGGCAGCTGCTGCTTCGTCTCCCTCAGCCGTGGACGGCTCATCCAGGCCGGAGAGGTGATTGTAACAGTGCCTCAAAGCTATCGAGAGAGTTAGGGTTTAGGGTTTAGGGTTTAGGGTTTAGGGTTTAGGGTTTAGGGTTTAGGGTTTAGGGTTTAGGGTTTAGGGTTTAGGGTTTAGGGTTTAGGGTTTAGGGTTTAGGGTTAGGGTTTAGGGTTTAGGGTTTGCTCCAGAAAGGTGGAGCATGGTTTAAGGATGATTGGAGCTGGGAGTCCCTTGAGCATACCTTGCAGGGTATTGCTATAATTAAGGACCTTCCAACTTCGAAGTTCGCTGTAGAATAAAACAATTTTTGCCATTTCTCCGAGCATGACAAAGGCAAATACGTCTGACATGGGGTCTATAGTACCGGCCCAAAAACCCCTTATATAGGTGCCCTTACACCCCAATAGCAAGATGCTGTAACCCTAAACCCTCCTAAGCCCTATATAGGGCTCTCTGAAACTCTGCGAATGCTCCATCTGTCTCGAACTGATGCCGGTCGTCTTCGCCCAGATGTCTGAGCCACGGACAGGACCGGAGAGGAAGAGCCTGAAGTAGCCATTACTTTCAGGGTTTAGGGTTTAGGGTTTAGGGCTTAGGGTTTAGGGTTTAGGGTTTAGGGTTTAGGGTTTAGGGTTTAGGGCTTAGGGGTTAGGGCTTAGGGCTTGCAAACTCAGGCATACGAAATGTGCAGTTAGGGCTTTGGGTAATAAGGGTCGATCCAGGGACTTCAGTGCAGCTCCCCCGAAGGGGCTTCTGCTGACCCCCTGTTGGGGGTTTAGGGTTTAGGGTTTAGGGTTTAGGGTTTAGGGTTTGGGGTTTGGGGTTTGGGGTTTAGGGTTCACTCCTGGGCCCCGCGCTGCCTTCCCCGACCTGCTGTGGAACGACGTAAGTGATCACTGATGTCCTGAGCCACGTCGAGCTCTTGCTTGGGGAGCCGCGATGGACAGGTTCCCAAGAACTCCAAAAAAACCCCTTAATTAAGGAATATCCCTTAAATGATAGTCGGAACCCTAATCTGATTTAAGGTGTATTCCTTAATTAAGGAAGATCCCTTAGATTATAGTCGGAACCCTAATCTGATTTAAGGTGAATTCCTTAATTAAGGGGTTTTGGAGTTTCTGGGTTCGTGCGCAAACGCACGAAAAAGCTGGCGAAGGAGAGCAATACAGACGCACACACACCCAGACACCTGCAGCCTCATCACAGCCTACAAACACAGACGAGTACTGTCACCCTAAACCCTAAACCCTAAACCCTAAACCCTAAACCCTAAACCCTAAACCCTAAACCCTAAGATTCGCGCTGCAAAGCCTTTTTTCTTCGGAGGCATGCGCCGCCGGCGCGCAATGCGCGCTTGCCGCAGGAGCCGGGAAAGAGCGGAGGCGACCTGCTTACCTCAGCTCTCGAACATTGCTATACACCCTAAGCCCTGTAAACCCTCTAAACCCTAAACCCTAGACCCTAAACCCTAAACCCTCTAAACCCTAAACCCTTAACCCTCAACCCTAAACCCTAAAACCCTCAACCCTCAACCCTGCTTCTGTTTCAGGGGTCCAAGGGTTGCGGATCTGGTGTTGCGGGTCTCATCCATCCTCCTTATCTCAGAGGGTGGCGCGGGGGACTGGAATGTCTATATCGCAATACCTTATGCGCTGTACATTAAACCCTAAACCCTAAACCCTAAACCCTCAAAAGCAAATCCTAACATCTGAAACCCGGACTTCTGGGACTGGGAGGATCAAAAAAATGGTTCCCCTTGTGGGTTCCCAAGAATGACCCAATGATCGCCTTCCAGGGTTTTTTCCCTGACTTTCAAGATCCTATTAGGGTTTAGGGTTTAGGTTTAGGGTTTAGGGTTTAGGGTTTAGGGTTTACGGGGGATGCTTATGGTTTGGAGAGATTTGCTGTGGGGGCTTCATGCTCGAGGGCGACACGGGCCTTTGTTTGGGGCCCGCAGCGCTTTCTGTAACCCTAAACCCTAAACCCTAAAACCCGAGGACTCGGCGGCCCCTTTAAGCCGTTCTGGAAAATAGGGTTAAGTTTAGGGTTTAGGGTTTAGGGTTTAGGGTATGGGGTTTCGGGTTTAGGGTTCAGGGTCTAGGGTTTAGGGTTCCAAGACATCCTGAAACCCTAAACCCAAAACCCAAAACTCTAAACCCTAAACCCCGAACTCAACTGGAGTCCATCGTGCTTCTGCCCTAAACCCGAATTTCTGGCACCCTAGACCCCAAACCCTACATTCTGACACCCTGAACCCTAAACCCTAAGTTCTGGCACCCTCAGCCTTACACCCTGAACCCTAACTTCTGGCACCCAGAACCCAAAGCCCTAAACCTCAAATTCTGGCACCCTGAACCCTGAACCCTAAACCCTAAACCCTGAACCCTAAACCCTAAACCCTAAACCCTAAACCCACTTTTGGAGGTCGGGCGGCTTCTTCGGAGTCCGAAACTTGAGCTTCTGGCACTCCTCGGGCCCGTTCGTGTGGCCTCACGAGGGTTTAGGGTTTTGGGGTTTATAGGGTTTATAGGGTTTACAGGGTTTACAGGGTTTACAGGGTTTACAGGGTTGAGGTTCTCTGAGTGTCCCTTTTAACCCTAAACCCCAAACACAAACACTTTTGGTTTCTATATGTGCAAATATGCATATATAGTGCGGCAGCCCTTTAGAAGAACCCCGAAAGAGAGCCCCTGAAAGGGGATGAACAGTTCCCAGACCCCAAACCCAGCAAGCTTGAAGCCCAAAAGCCACAAGCCCTAAACCCTGAACCCTGAACCCTGAACCCTGAACCCTGAACCCTGAACCCTGAACCCTGAACCCTAAACCCTAAACCCTAAACCCTAGCCGTAGATACCAGACCTTAAGCCCCTCGAAGTATCCCGAGCTCGGGGCCAGATTCTCCAGGTCATGAAAACTTTCTGTAAAAGATTCCTAAATAGGGTTTAGGGTTTAGGGTTTAGGGTTTAGGGTTCTCGGGTTTTAGGGTTCCTATACATGATCCTCTTAAACCCAAGAAGGGAGAATACAATATCTCAGGGGAACACCCAGTCGAGTATTCCTGTCTTGCAAGACCTTTAACTTAAAACCCCAAATCAACAAAAACAAACCCTAAACCTTGCAAACCCTAAACCGCCTAAGCTTCAGAAACCCCAAACCAAGCCACCCTGAGCCCCCCCCCAGGTATAGGGTTTAGGGTTTAGGGTTTATAGGGTTTATAGAGCCCCCCCCCCCTTGTCTGTTGAAGCTTGAGGGTCCGGGGTTTGTAGTCCGGGGTTTGGAGGGGTTCTGGGAAATCGGAAGCCTCAAACCCTAAACCCCAAACCCTAAACCTCAAACCCCAAACCCTACACCACCCTAAACCCCAAACCCTAAACCCTAAACCCTAAACCCCAAACCCTAAACCCTGAAGCCCAAACCCTAAACCCTAAACCTCAAGCGCTCAAAGTCCAAGCCGAGGGTGCGCGTGGGCTTGTGATGAACCCGCACCCGGTTGCAGTCCAGATCGCGGGCGCCTGAAGTGCTTCAGGCATGGGGGTTTACGGTTTCTAGGGTTTAGGGCTTAGGGCTTAGGGTTTAGGGTTTGGGGTTTAGGGTGTAGGGTTTAGGGTCGAGGGTTTAGGGTTGACGGTTGATCTGAACTCTGTCGGTAGGTTTTACAGGTAGGGTTTAGGGTTCAGGATTTCTGGTTTAGGGCGAACCCTGGACCCGCGGTTTGTTGGATTCAGCAGCCACGAGAAACCCTAAACCCTAAACCCTAAACCCTAAACCCTAAACCCTGAACCCTGAAACCCTAAACCCTAAACCCTAAACCCCAGAAATCGGATGCACCAGATGCCGGTTCCCGCAACCGGCCTCTGAACCTTCGAACACATGTCTGCCTTTTAACAAATTCCGAAGCCGAACTAACCCTAAACCCTAAACCCTAAATGCTAAACCCTAAACCCCAAAGCCCAAACCCTAAACCCTAAACCCTAAACCCTAAACCCTAAACCTGTTTTTAGGGCACAGGGACATTCTAGGAAACCAGGAGCTGGGCTCCTGCTTTGTTGCGGGTTGTGCTAAGGTAGCCTGCAGAAAGGAAGGAGGCTCGGTGCTCTCAAGCCCTAAACCCTAAACCCGAAACCCTAGACCATAGGCCCGAAACTCTAAAACCTAAACTCCAAAGTTTAGGGACCCTAAACCCTAAACCCTAAACCCTAAACCCTGTGACCCGAGTCACACATGTAGCTCGTCTGGTAGTTCCAGATGCACCGGTCGATCCTTTGGTTGTCAGAAGGGTTTAGGGTTTAGGGTTTAGGGTCTAGGGTTTAGGGTTTAGGGTTTAGGGTTTAGGGTTAGGGCGTAGGGTTTAGGCTTTAGGGTTTAGGGTTACGGTTTAGGGTTAAGGGTTGTCATCGTACTCTTGTGGAGTGCTGCAACCAAACAACCATACTACTGGTAATTCCTTGCACGGTCGTTGGTACCGAAAAGGAGGGCTTCAAGTATAACCATAGCTGCCGCTACAAAAACCCCTACTCATAAGTATCCTTGAACCTTTTCATCATGTTTTGGGTGCCTCCAGGGGAGCCATACTTGAGGGACCCTTTCTTTTGGTGCCGGGTGGGGGGGGGGGGGACTTGGGCCCTATAAACCCTAGACCCAAACCCTAAACCCTAAACCCTAAACCCTAAACCCTAAACCCTAAACCCTAAACCCTAAACCCTAAACCCTAAACCCTAAACCCTAAACCCTAAGCCCAGCGGCTGCGCAGCATCCACAGAGGCGAGTCCAACCGACTCCAGCGCTTTCTGGGCCAAACCCCCAGACCTCGGACGGTTTGGGGTTTAGGGTTTGGAGTTAATTGGGAGTGTTTAGGGTTGCTTATACCTAGTAATTAGGGATATTTAGGGTTTAGGGTTTAGGGTTTAGGGATATTTAGGGGTGAGAGTTCTGAAAAAGTGGCGAGGAACTTGACCGACTTTCCACCTTATACTCCCCTTGTGCCCCCCTTATGCCCCCCCCTTAACCCATTATATCCACCCCATACCCCCTGACACCCCCATTGAAACCCTCTTAGACCCCGTTATACCCCCATGGAAAACCCCCTTATAACACTGACCCTAAACCCTAAACCCTAAACCCCTAAGCCCGAAGCCCTAAGCCCTAAACCCTAAACCCTAAGCCCTAAGCCCTAAACCCTAAACCCTAAACCCTAAACCCTAAACCCTAACCCCCCCCCCCCCCCCGGCCTTTCGGCAAGTAGCTCAGGTTAGCTCAGGCACCGCTGACAAGAGGCTCGAGGGCCGGAACCACAAGGTTGGTTTTAGGGTTTGTAGGGTTTAGGGTTTAGGGTTTAGGGTTTAGGGTTTAGGGTTTAGGGTTTAGGGTTTAGGGTTTAGGGTTTAGGGTTTAGGGTTTAGGGTTTAGGGTTTAGGGTTTAGGGTTTAGGGTGTAGGGTTTACGCTTTAGGGTGTAGGGTGTAGGGTTTAGGGGTTCTGTGGTTCTTGGGGTTCTTGGGGTTGTTGTTTTCTTGTTTTCTTGGGTTCTTGGGGTTCCTTCGGGCTCTGGAGTTCTTCGGGCTCTGGGGTTTAGGGTTCTTGGGTTCTTGGGCTCTGGGGTTCAGGCCAGTTGATTGAGGTAAGCAAGAACAGAAACACCTCGAAACCCACGCGCAAACGGCGAATTGCACATCTCTGACTTTGGCATCATAAGCCTGTAGCCAGGCAGCTTGTAAAACAAGGCGTACCAGAATCCTAGGCAGTCTTTGGGGGGGGGGGGGGGGGGGGGGGAAGGGGTTTCGGCTTTAGGGGTTTGCAGGACTGTGGGTCTCTTCGAAGTGGTGATAAGAACCCTAAACCCTAAACCTTAACCCTAAACCCCAAACACTAAACCCCAAACCCTAAACCCCAAGATATTTGCATGGGAGCCTCAGGTCACCCGCGATGTCATCTTGGGTTTAGGGTTTAGGGTTTGGGGATTAGGGTATAGGGTTTCGGGAACCCTAAGCTTCTAAATCGTCCGGATGTTACGTCTCGTTTCTCTGTCGCTGGCGAAGGCACTTTGCAGCTCTTGGGCTACATCGGCTTTCTTTGAGATGTAGAAGACTACAGATGACGAAAGCAGGGCTTCCTGAACCCAAACCATTAGTTTAGGGTCTAGAGTATCTTAGCTGAATGAAAAGACTTTCAAAGTCACCCTGGTAGGCCTGAAACCCTAAGCCCTAACCCCTAAGCCGTAAACCCTGTAGAACACTGAACGCTCTTCGTTATCATAACTGAGCAAGTCAGGGGTCTCTCAGGGCCTCTCACATGCTACGCAGTCCCGCTAGTTTGGAACTCCCACAATTCACCATTCTGTCCCCTCTCCTCCCCCCCCACTCCTTGTCCACACTCCCCTCCAATGAAGTAGCCACCGGCGGGCTTCCTTGAGGGCTTGGACCCTAAACCCTAAACCCTAAACCCTAAACCCTAAACCCTGAACCTGCTTTAGGTTGCCTCTCGGATTCCAGGGTTTAGGGTCGGAAGGATGTTAGAGTTCAGGTTTAGAGGTTAGTGTTTAGGGTGAGATCGTACACAGGGACCAATTGAACGCGTAATTTGGATACCTGGTACTGCATGGTATAAAGGAAGCTATACAGGGATGGGGTTTGGGGTTTGGGGTTTGGGGTTTGGGGTTTGGGGTTTGGGGTTTGGGGTTTGGGGTTTGGGGTCTAGGGTTTAGGGTTTAGGGTTTAGGTTTAGGGTTTAAGGCTGGGCTACTGACCTTTGCTTTTTGCAGCTCCTTCAAGTTCCTTTCTGTTGGGGGGAAAGGTTGATGGTTGTCGTGGTTCAGAACTCGAATTCCACATTCTGCCATGGTCCACATTGAGGTTGTTGTGAGGTTGAGGGTTTAAGGTTTAGGGTTTGGGGTTTAGGTTTAGGGGCTGAGGAACAGTCCAGTGTGTAGGAATCCTCTGAGACAGCTGAAAACATAGTGGTGGTGTACGGAATAAGTCTTGAAATGAGACCTATTATTCGACCAATATTTATTAAAGAATGCGAATACCAGTCAAGGCATCAGTTCGAGGCTTCCACGATGTAAGGTTTAGGTTATTAAGGCCGGTGGCCTCTTTATCTGCTACCCTTATACCTTAACATAGCCCCTAGATACCCTAATAAGAACCCCCCATATATGCCCCTATAAAACAGAAACCCTACTTAAAGAGACCACCAACCCATAAGGTTTAGGGTTTAGGGTTTGGGGGCTCAGATCGTGCAGCATGCAGACCCCACACAACCAAAAAAGCCACTGCAAGACTTGAGTCGACGAGGTAGGGCCTGGCCTGTAACGGTTTAGGGCTTCGGAAACACACCCTTTTTAGGGATGGCCCCCTTTTTCCCTCCGAAAAATATTCATAATATTCAGATATATATATATATATATATATATGTTTATGTATATGTATGATTCAATATACTCTTGAACACAATAGGATGGCCCCGAAAACGCTCTGGAAAAGATTCCCATACATGTATGATTCAATATATGATCCTCTTGAACCCAATGGGGGAAAATATGAAATGTCCCAAGGGCCTGCTTAGCCCTAAACCCTAAACCCTAAACCCTAAACCCTAAACCCTAAACCCTAAACCCTAAACCCTAAACCCCATCCGGGGCCCTGATGGCGCTGCCCTGGGTGAATGTTTGTCAATAGGGCTTAGGGTTTAAGGTTTAGGGTATTGTGCTACCCTTAGGCTCAAAATAGCCCAAAACCCTTACAAAATGAGACGTTTGGGCCCAAAATCCCTTAAATGAGAGTCCTAGGAGCCTTAGGGCTACTTCAATCCCGCGGCAGAGCTGTCCTTTTCTTGCTTGGGTTTCGCCAGCTCAGCCTCCAGCAAGCTCGCAATCTCAACGCGGCGAGATGCGTGCGTGCGAGCGGTCCTGCCGAAGAAGTCCCGCAAGTTCATGTCAGCACCAGCGTCCAGCAGCCAACGTACAATCTCGATGTGGCCGTTGCGAGATGCGTGCATGAGAGCGGTTCGCTCGTACTCGTCCGGAAAGTTCTTGTCGGCACCGGCGTCCAGCAGCAAACGTACAATCTCGACGTGGCCCCGAGACGATGCGCACATGAGCGCAGTCTCGCCGTCGCAGTCCCACAAGTTCGGCTCGGCGCCAGCGTCCAGCAGCAAACGTGCAATCTCCATGTGGCCGTTGCGAGACGCGAGCATGAGAGCGGTCTGTCTGGTGGACTCGAACTGCACGTTCTTGTCGACACCCGCCGCCCACAGAGCGCGGCCCACTTCCACGAGGCCATCTTCAGCAGACTCAATAAACTCGCTTTCAGCCTGAGGCATTTGCTCCGCATTGAGGGCGGATAGCAGTACCAGCTGCAGGTCAACAGGCCCGACTAGAGGATCATACTCCCCCAAGCACCGACCAGCCTCAAGGAGCTGTTGAAGGCAGACAGGGAAGCCATGCCGGCTTCGCAAGTGGCGCTTTAAGTCGATGACGTCTTTGAACGTGTCGCCCGTGGGCACTGCAGCTAGCTCTTGCCCGGAAACGCTCCAGATGCGAAGCATTGCGCAGACTTGAAGGGTTGCTGCTCTAGACAATGGCTAAATATTCTGAACACCCCTACCGAGGAACTACGCAATTTGATGGGCACTGTTCTAAGCATTCCAAAAGATTCTTTTGCGATATTCTGGCGGTTTCCTATGTAGCTATAAAGGCTTTAACCGTATTGCATGGCACGAGTAGCCCTACTTCTAAGTACCCAAATGAGCTTTCAAATTGGCATCTATGGCTTAGGGCTTCGGATTTAGGATGTGAGGTGTGATTCGGATAATCCTGTAGAAAAAAAGGTCGGAAAGAGAGGCCAAAGACAGCGTGGGCGAGGGGCAAGCACACCAAGATATCCTACTCAACGCCAAGACGTGACAATTGCCCCCAAGACGAAGCCTCTTGGATCCTGAAACCAGGCCCAAAGCCCTTTCAGAACTCCAACCTGGGTACAAGGCCATCCGAATCTAATACGCCCCAAGATGATCGGTAAACCCTAAACCCTAAACCCTAAACCCTAAACCCTAAACCCTAAACAGCCCTGAGAATGTAGCGTGGCGTCCACCCCATCTGGCCCCACGAGTGGTCGTGGGAAAAGTCCGCTTCTTTGGCGAAATTCCTGGGTTTGGGGTTTATGGCAGGATTTAGGGTTTAGGGTTTAGGGTTTAGGGTCATCACCCGGGGGTGGTCGCAGGCAATTTTGCAACGAGATCTCTACGTCAGGCGACAACGCTTGCACCCGTGTTGCATCGATATTGTCAAGGATTCCCAAAACCTTGTAAACCCTGAACCCTAAACCCTAAACCCTAAAACAACCCTAAACCCTAAACCCTAAAGTGCCCTAAGCCTTAAACCCTAGGCCCTAAACCCTAAACCCTAAGCCCTAAGCCCTAAACCCTAAGCCCTATGCCTTAAACCCTAAGCCTTAATTAACTTAAACCCTAAACCCTAAACCCTAAACCCTAAACCCTAAACCCTAAACCCTAAACCCTAAACCCTAAACCCTAAACCCTAAACCCTAAACCCTAAACCCTAAGCTACAGGTATCGACCCAAGCAGCCACAGCCAGGCCCAAGGGTCAAGGAAGCTTGGAACAAGCGCTTGTCCGGCTTCAGGGCGAAGAAGCCGACGTTCAGAGGTTCTCCCACACCTGACTGTGGCTTAGGGATTGGGGTTTAGGGTTTAGGGTTTAGGGTTTAGGGTTTAGGGTTTAGGGTTTAGGGTTTAGGGTTTAGGGTTTAGGGTTTAGGGTTTAGGGTTTAGGGTTTAGGGTTTAGGGCTTGGGGTTTAGGGTTTGGGGTTTAGGGTTTTTAATATCTTTCAGGGTTTAGGGTTTAGGGATTGGGGTTTAGGGCTTGGGGTTTAGGGTTTGGGGCTTAGGGCTTAGGGTTTTAAATATCTTTCAGGGTTTAGGGTTTAGGGTTTAGGGTTTGGGGTTTAGGGTTTGGGAGATCCACATGACGGGGGCCTCCGTTGGTCGAGAGGAACTTGCCCGAGGCGGCGCAGCGAAGCACGGGCGTGATGTCTCCCTGGGCAGGTAGCCCTAAACCCTAAACCCTAAACCCTAAACCCCAAACCCTAAACCCTAAACCCTAAACCCCCAAATCCGGGACTCTAAGCCCTACTAAAACCTAAACCCTAAGCCCCAGAACCCGGCAGGGGGGGAACGGTGAGGGGGCAGGGGGAGGGCCCGGTTTAGAGTTCCGGGCTTCCGCCTGGTGGCGCCCTGTCCTCGAAGGTTCGTGGGTCCCTAAACCCTAAACCCCAATCCCTAAACCCTAAACCCTAAACCCCAAACCCTAAACCCTAAACCCTAAACCCTGGATACTTGCAAGTAGAGTTAACAATGCAGGGCGAATAGAGCTGCAGTTATGACTTGTTATCAGCTGAGGCCCTGAACCCTAAACCCCAAACCCTGAGCCCTAGTTCTAACCACTCAAGGTTGCGGACATTGTCATTTGGCCTCTGCGATGTTCGAGCTTTCAATATTCTTATCTAGAGATCATGGTTCTATCTCTTTTTGTTAGCAACCTACAACTACATTTGAATCTATGTCTATATGCATAAATGGTATATATATATATGTATGTGTATGGATATACTTGTGATTTTCGGAGTACTTTAAAAAGTAGGCTTTCGGATAAGTAGGGCAGCTAAAACCATAATGGGGGTATAAGTAGGGCAACGATAGTTCAATTATGACTCGGCTAGTAACCAGGGCAACTACACTGATAAGTTGCAAGTAGGGTAACTCTGGTCGTATGTAGGGTTGCAAATAAGGTAGCCATAATTGGAAGGAGGACATTGGCAGGGATGAACAGCGAGAGTTTCTAAGATGCTGGGGGTTAAACCCTAAACCCTAAACCCTAAACCCTAAACCCTAAACCCTAAACCCTAAACCCTAAACCCTAAACCCTAAACCCTAAACCCCGGGTGAGGGCTGGAAGAGCAAGCCACCTGGAACTCGATGTCCGTGTCGTAGTAGGCCACAGCATCGTAGCCTTCCATGCCGAGGACGTGAAGGCGGATAAAGTCCTGGAGATCCGCAGGTTCCTAAACCCTAAACCCTAAACCCTAAATCCTAAACCCTAAACCCTAAACCCTAAATCCTAAACCCTCAACCCTAAACCCTAAACCCTATAAGCCCCAAGCACTAAACTCTAAACCCCAAACCCGAAAACCCAAAAACCCTAAACCCAAGAACTGCCCAGATCTGGAAAATGTTGCCAATCAGGACTGACATGCCTTTGATCCTATGGGTTGCTCCTCCTTTGGGTAGGGGCTCGGATAGAGTAACGTCAGGTTTCGCTAGGGTTCATGAGGATGCTTGAGGTGTAGCTGCAAGCTATGTGCTGCGGCTTCTGCACCTGCAGCATCACCGTGGAGCATTAAGGGGTTTAGGGTTCAGGGTTCGGGTTTAGGGTTTAGGGTTTAGGGTTCAGGGTTCAGGGTTCAGGGTTTAGGGTCTTGGGCTTTTCTTTAAGGTTTAGGGTTCATGAGCCAAGGCTGGGCCCAGGCCCTGCATCACAAATTGGTTGCCTGGCCTGCAGCTGGCGCTACGGTGACATGTGTGCTAGCTATTGCGAGGCCACCCTATGACTCTACACCCTGATACCTGAACCCTGAACCCTAAACCCTCAATCCTAAACTCTGAATCCTAAGCCTTAAACCCTATACCCGGATTCTGTGGTATCCGTCGGTAGACCGCAGAGCATAGAAACTGGTCCATACAACATCCCTTACTGGGATTATAGAGGGGTGATAAACAGGTACCGAGTCTGTACACACCCTAAACCCTAAACCCTAAACCCTAAACCCTAAACCCTAAGCCCTAAACCCTACGGGGGACCCAGGAAGGAGACTTAACTTCAAAGGAACCCCCACCAGAGTTCTAAGGGGCGAAGGAGGAGACCTGGGGGCTTTGCTTCTTGGAGTCGGTGCGGGAATTCGGTACCTTATGTCTAGATCTATCCCCCCCTGCAAGGTAGGGTTTAGGGTTTAGGGCTTAGGGTTTAGGGTTTAGGGTTTAGGGTTTAGGGTTTAGGGTTTAGGGTTTAGGGTTTAGGGGTTAGCTACCTGTGATCCCCGAGTTGCCTCCTTGAAAGATCCAGCAAAGGGAGCCCTGTCCTGGTGTCCGCACCAACCTCCCTCCTTGTAGCCCTTCATGTTGGGCGGAGTGTCCCAGTCCACGTCCAGCAGCTGCACACCTTGCTTGAAGTAGCGCTTACAGGCGCTAGGGTTTACGCTCGTCCCCAAAAAAAAGAAAAACACATCGACAGTAGGCAAGTTAGGGTTTAGGGTTCAGGGCTTATCGTGGGGATTTGGGTTTAAGGTTTGGGCTCGAATGGGACCCCTGATGTAACATTCCCGTTATGTACCCTATACAACCCAAGGGCCCATACTTCAGAGCCCTTTAACGGAGGTAAGGGTAAGGGACCATGTAACTTCCCTTAAAGGCTAAGCCATAAACCCTAAACCCTGAACCCTGAACCCTAAACCCTAAACCCTAAACCCTACACCCTAAACCCTAAACCCTAAATGAGCTAGACGGCGATGCTTCTTGAAGAGCTCCTTCTGCGAAGCAGTCATGTGCTTGCTGTCCGACTTCATCCTCAGGTTTAGGGTTTAGGGTTTAGGTTTAGGGTTTAGGGTTTAGGGTTTAGGGTTTAGGGTTTAGGGTTTAGGGTTAGGCTTTAGGGTTTAGGGTTTAGGGTTCAGGGCGGTAGCCCTGAAACCATATCAAAATCAGGACACCCTTTTTGGGGTTGCTTACTTGATAGGGGAACCTTGAACCAAACGAAAAGGGAAAAGGGTACCGCTGGGCCGCCAAGCTTTAGGCGCGGAGGGCTATAAGGGGTTTGGGGTCTCTTTGAAACCCGGCGAGATGCCCCAAGTGCAGTTCCGCCCCACTCCAGTGAAATTCTTGGGGTTTAGGGTTTAGGGTTTGGGGTTTAGGGTTTAGGGCTAGTAATCCTTGGTTTGCGAGCTGGTTGTGTGGGGGTTCGAGCATTAAGCTCCAGCAGGCACGCCAACCTTAAACCCTAAACCCTAAACCCTAAACGCTAAACCCCAAACCACCCCGTGTCTCTTGAAGCCCGGGAGCATCACCATGAAAATGTCTGCGTTGTTGGCCATGGCCGCGGCAGCCTTGACAGATGGGATCTGGCCCAGCAAAAACGTCATAATCAGGATGCCCTTTTTGGGTTTAGGGTTTAGGCCTAGGGTTTAAAGTTTGAGTTTTGGGTTTAGGGTTCAGGGTGTAGGGCTTAGGGTTTAGGGTGCGTGGCATAAGGCAACCTTGAACAAAAAAGAAGGGGCAAAAGGGCACCTTTGGGCTACCAAGGGATACGACCTCGCGGCCCTAAGTTTCGAGTCTTCGTACGAATGTAGGATGAACCTTGAGGTATCTCCTTTCTATCCATTAAATTTTCTATCCATTAAAGGCAGCCGAGATCCCCCCAAAACCCTAAACCCTAAACCCTAAACCCTGGCTCATACGAACCAGCACTTCAGGCAGCTGGGCCTCCATGGACTGGATGTACGGAAGCATGCCATCACGCGGCTTGCCGAAGTAAGACATCACAATCGCATACCTCGAGTCTTTAGGGTTGAGGGCTTGGGGTTTAGGGTTTGGGGTTAGGGTTTATGGTTTAGGGGTGCTCCAGGGCTTTGTTGATTCGTTGCGAGTTGCGAGCTGACTGTGTGAGAACTGTAACCCGAAGCCCTAAAGCCTAAACCCTAGGTAGAGTTTATCAATCAGGCTTTCGGGTCCGGTATCCCCTGGCCTATGAACTTAGTTGCTAACCACTTCACCCTTCCCGGAGTTTCATAAAGTTTAGGGTTTAGGATTTAGTACTTACAGGTCAGATGAGTAGGGTTGCTATTGATTCCCCATGAACCTCCAAGTAGGTGGAGTACGGTTGGGCTTAGCATGGTTCCTTCTGCGGATTCCTAAAACCTATAAACGCTAACCCCGAAACCCTAAATCCTAAACCCCAAAACCCTAAACCCTAAACCCTGAACTCAAAACCCAAAACCCAAAACCCAAAAACCCAAAAACCCAAAAACCCTAAACCCTAAACCCTAACATGTCAACAGCTGTCCAGTTGCTTCCCATTGGAAGGTCCGTTGGCTGCGCATTGGTCGACGTCTAGGCAGTCTACCTCAAGCAGCTTTCGTGGCTCCCAGTGGGGAAGCAGGGTTTAGGGTTTCGGGGTTAGGGTTTAGGGTTTAGGGCTTTCGTGTTTAGGGTTTTAAGGCTTCTGTGGCCAGGCCAGAGATGTAGCTCACGCGCATGAACACACCCCACGCGCGAGCTTACAAATCATGTGCAGGATCCCTTCAATACCCCCATGCAGCTTTTTCTGGGCTCACCCTGCTGCGAAAGAATGTCGGAGGGCATGTCTGCACGGTGCACGGTTCTCGTGTAACCACAAACCCTAAACCATAAACCCTAAACCCTAAATACCCTAAACCCTGAATAATGCAGAGACTTCTCCTTGGGGGGTGCCTCAATAGGGAGCAGTTCGAGGATGGCCCAACAGAAGCCCTAAGTAGCTGATCCTCTGAAAAAACAACAATGAAGGAAGCATAAAATGCGCCAAGGGCCTTACCTAGAAAAAGGGACCATTGCGAGAACTGCCTAGCCTGAGTTTTTGAGGCCCACAATTGGCAACCGAGCGAGGAGTCGAAGCCCACACTTTAATGTACCTTGTTGTAGTTCACTTTTTTTTGGGCGCCTCCAACTCATGGTGAGTAGAACATGCACTGAAGCCTAATCAAACAAGTCTCGATGTTCTCCACTGCAATTTTATGCAGAACTCTTACAAATACCGATTCATACTAAACAGGCCCCTAAAGCTTAAACACTAAACCTACCTCACTCAATGGGGATGCCCAACAGTATCAGAACAAGGGCTACTGGAGGCATTAGGGTTAAGTACCTAGGGTTTAGCGTTTACCGGGTTTGCAGTGTTTACAGGGTATGGGGTTTTGGGATCGTTGACCCCCCCCCCCCCCCTCAAAACACCCCAAAACCCTCCAGACCATCACAAACTTGCGCTAAACCCTAAACCCTAAACCCTAAACCCTAAACCCTAAAGCCTAAAGCCTAAAGCCTAAAGCCTAAAGCCTAAAGCCTAAAGCCTAAAGCCTAAAGCCTAAAGCCTAAAGCCTAAAGCCTAAAGCCTAAAGCCTAAAGCCTAACCCTAAACCCTAAACCCGAAACCCTAAAGCCTAAAGCCTAAACCCTAAACCCTAAACCCTAAACCCTAAACCCCAAACCCTAAACCGATGCCTCCTTCTCTCCGTGGTAGCAGCAATGGGGGCAGGCCTGACATGCTCACTTCTCCAAAATTTCGATCCTTTTTGGAGTTGCCATGAATTATAGTATTGAGAATCATACGAAACATAACAATAATAATAGTGCCAAAAATATTGACAATACTAATAAATAATAATAGTAGTAATCGAAACAATCAGGCCCCTAATATGTAGGGTACACAAACAGGGACCCTAATTTTGAGAAGTGACCATATGAAAGGAGCTTCCCCCGGGAATCGGCTTGAAACCAGGGCGACAGAATCTCCAGAGGTCACATTTAGGGTTTAGGGTTTAGGGTTTAGGGTTTAGGGTTTAGGGTTTAGGGTTTAGGGTTTAGGGTTTAGGGTTTAGGGTTTGCAGCATCACACCGGTCGACTTCAGGGTTTAGGGTTTAGGGTTTAGGGTTTTTGGCTTCCGCAACACCCTATACCTAAGCTAAGTAGCGCAATCAACGCCAACTCTCCATACCCGCACCCCAAAATTGAAGCCATTTGGGACGCTCCCCCTTAGACCAACACTCCTTAATGGGGATTATAGTACCACCCCTTATTCGAATCCCCATTAAGGACTGCTAGTTTAAGTGGGAACATCCCAAGAAGCCATGATGAAAGTATGGCATGTTCTAGGAGACGGCGCCTCTAAGAGGCCGTGCGAGTAACCACAATTTCTGGGCTCGGGGTGGGGTTGGGGGGGGGGGGGGGGGGGGGGGGGGGGGGGGGGGGGGTGGGGGGGGGGGGGGGGGGGGGGGGGGGTAATCACGTGACTTGGGACTTCACACCTGCAACTCCAAAGCCTGAACCCCTAATCCCCAAAGGCCTAAACCCTTGCTGTTTAATTCGGGGTTTATAAGCAAAACGCGCCCGCGCCTAGGCGAGAGCGCAATTTCAAGCAAAAAATGTGTCCGAAACTTCAAAACGACACCCCCGAGAAAAAAACACAACAAACAAACGATCCTTAAACCCAAAAGAATAGTCCAAGCAGTGCAAACCCAAATCCTGAAACCTGAACCCTAAACTTTGAACCTTGAACCCTGAAGAAGAATCAACTTGAGGCCACTTTCAGGATCCAGTGCACAAGTCTGTTGGGTTACAACCAAAGCACAATTCCAGAAAATCATGCCTGCGCTGTGGCGAGAGCACTATTTCGAACCTGAACTGCCGGAGCCATAACGCAGAAAAAACTTCCCGAACCGAAAATCGCCATTTGAAAGTTCAACATGGGGAATGAGCAAAACGTGCCCGCGCCTAGGCGAGAGCGCAAATTCGAGCAAAAAACGCGTCCAAAACTTCAAAAAAAGAGGACCCCCTGGAAAAAAACAACAAAAAAACGATCAGGCTTCGAGCGAAAATGAATTTTTCCGAAAAAATCACCTAACCCTTCAGTGTTTTCGAGCCCTGCAAATGCTGCGGTGATCACGAAAATGTGTGTTTTACTTGGGTTTTCAGCCCTCGACGCGAAAAATGTAAACACAGAATGTGTTCAGTCACACGGCCTCTTACGGGCGCCGCCACCATGTTCTAGCATCGGGGACCCCTTTATCGACCCCCCAAAGCACCATATATATATATATAATATATATATATATATATCATGAACCAGCCACACAAATTAAGGGGAGGGAAGCGCCCATGTGAAGCATGGTTGCTACGACAAGTATCCTAGCAAAAATGATAGTTTTTGCTGTTTCTTAAGAATTAAAGTACCCAAAAATTAAAAATCATTTCCAAGTACCCCTAAGCTCCCTTGGTCTAGGGTTTTGGGGCCATATAGGGTTATGTGGCAAGGACCTTTAGGGTCTATGTGAGGAATTTCCTTTGCTGAGGGGACAGTGTATTTGAAACAGAAAACCCCGGATTTTCTGTTTCAAGTGTTTCAAGTGTTTTAAAACACTTGAAACAGAAAATCACCCGATTTTCTGTTTCAAGTGTTTCAAGTGTTTTAAAACACTTGAAACACTTGAAACAGAAAATCGGGGGATTTTCTGTTTCAAGTGTTTCAAGTGTTTCAAGTGTTTCAAGTGTTTCAA